CTGGCCCTCACCTGCTCTGGCTGAAGAGGAAGGAGAGTGCAGCCCGTGGGGGAGGTCCTGGAGGACCCCAGCCCGCTGTCAGCTCTCGGGGGACTTTGGAAGGTCTTTGGAGCTTTCTGCAGGTGCCCAGAGTCCATCCCCCGAATGGCTGCATCCCCTGCTCCTTCCTCCTCCTGCTCCTCATCCTCTCCCCAGTCAAAGATGGGAGGAGAGCAGCAGGAAGGAGTCACAGCCCTGGAGGTCAGGAGGGTGATGGGGGCAGTGGTTCAGTTCACTGCCATTCCCAGAGCATCCACCCGAAAATTCCTCAACCCTCTCCAGCCTCTTCCCCGCTCTGTCCTTTCCCTCCATCACTAGCGGTGGATCCAAAGTCCAGCCCACTGCGAGGAAGGAGATCTCAGCATCTCCAGGCCCTGCCAAAGTGGCCCCCAGAAGCCAAGGGGGTGCTTTTCCGTCTCTTTTCCGACGCCGTGTCCCTGCAGCCTTTGCCTTCGTGGGCACCCCCGAGAGGCTCAGTCCCAGCTGGGGGTGGGAGACGTGGACACCCTGACTGAGGACGTGGGTTTTAGGAAGAGATGGTGCTGATTCCAGCAGCACCACTCACCTCCTGACCAGCCCTCCTGTCCTCTGGGAGCCTTTGCATCCCCTCCGTGTCCCATTTCCTCCCGCAAGACCTTCTCGAGCACAGGAAGCTTTTGGTGCTTGGAGGCCAAGACCTCGACTCCAGCTGCAAGAAGGTCTCACCAGGCTTGGATACAACCCACAGCCACAAGTCCAGGGACATTACAGAGACCAGTTGGTTTCCATCCTGGGGAGTCATGGCTCAGGACACCCCAGAGAAGCCAAGATCTGAGCTCTCTCCCCCCTGTCCTGCCCACACCAGACCCGGCCGTGCCTGCTGCCCACACCCACCAAAACGCCTTGAGGAGCAACTTGCAACGATACCAAAGATTTTTTTTTCCCCTGCAGGTAATGACAATCTGAGTTCTGTCCTAAAGACAATTCTCTTGACCAGGGTTGCACCCAAAGGGCATTTTTGTGCTGTGGGGAGCAGGAGCCAAACCGGGGCCCGGGGACACCCCCAAGGGTGATGGAGGATGAGGAAGAGGAGGAGAGCTGGGCTCTCCCACTGAGACCCGCTGGTTCAGCCTGGCCACTGTCTCCTACTTCAGCTGTGGAAGTTTTCAGGGATTTGGGTCATTTCATTGCCTCTGACACCTCCCAGTCCCCCCAGTTCTACCTCGGGTGGAAGTTTTCCATCGACGGCTTTTAAGCTCTGAAGACCCACATCCAGCAGTGGGGCAGCTCTGCCCCATCCCACGGGGCAAGCAGGAGGAGCAGGGGCTCTTGGGGATGCCCAGCTGGGTTTTAACCATTATTACCCCACTATGGCACATCCAGAGCTGAGCTCTTCCTGCCCTAACCACATCGGCATCCAGAGAAACGGCTTCACCCAAAAAAATCACCACTCACCCCTTTTCCTGAACATCTGGGTGGGGAAGGCTCCTGGTTACCTCTCTCCCCAGCCCTCTTTGGGTTGTCCCCATGCCCAGCACACCCCAGAACCGAGTCAGCTCCTTTCCCTTGTCTCAGAGGACACCAGAGACGGGGTTGGACCCGCGGGCGCTGCCACGTGGAATCCGGTTCCTCTCGTGTCGTTCTTTGGGGTGTTTTTAAAGAGAGGAGATGAAAAATGCAAAGAACAGATATTGGGGTTTAGTGTGGGTTTTTTTGTTTGTTTGTTTTTGTTCTTTTCCCCCTTCACTTTTTAAAGGCAAGGAAGAGCTCAGACAGAATTAACCCCAGCCAGGGAGAACCCCTAGCCTCGGGTCTGCCAGCCCAGCCCCCCTCCAGAAAACGTGGCTCATTTTTCTGTATAGCAATAGGTGACACTTGCCCTCACCCCACACGGTCTGAGGGCCACACATCTCTGAGTTTTTAAATGACTTTTTCCTTCTAATTCAATTAATTTAATTTTTTAATTTTTTTTTTTTTTGCTGCTGTTGCTTCTTTGTTGTTACTCTCATGGGATGGGTTTTACTCTACAGCAAAATGCAATTGTTACTCCTCTGTGTCTTGCAACTATATTTGTTTAAGCTATTTACAAAGGTTAAAAAAGAAAAAAAAATAAAATAAAAAAGAGTCTTATGTGTCAGGCACTTTATTCAAACTGTGCTCTGTGCTCTGGAGTTTGTTCCTCGTTCTTTGCAATGACTCATGCAGGGGAAGTTATCAGGAAATTTAACTCCAGCCTGTCAACAGGTTTTAAAAGAGAGAAAGAAAATTAATCTCTATTTGTTCATCCTCTACTGGTCATGACTGTGTTGTGTATTTCTGCAGCTTTCTGTTTCTTCAATAAATTATTTTCTAGTCATTCACCCTGGCGTGTGTGTGTGTGTCCCACAGGGGGGTCACTTCCCTCCTGATGCCCCATTTTAACCACCTCAGCTCCTCTCCCTAAACCTGCCCTGGCAGCACCAGGATGGAGGTTTGGGGATCGTGCCCAGGCAGCTGGGAAAAGTTCCTCCCCATTTTCCACCTCTTGGTTGCAGGGGTGAGAGCTTTCCTAGAGGAAAGACTTTTATTTCTTGGCACCGTCCAGACCCTCCTGGCCAGAGCCCAAGGAAAACACTTTAATTCTCACAAACTCAGTGCAGACGAGGCCAAAGCACTTGTTAAACAAACCCATCGAGTCATGTGTGCTGCAGGCAGGGCCAAGTCCCCGTGGCTGATTGAATTTGGTGTCATTTTCCCCAAATGTCTTGTCCTCCTGTGCATTTTACCACGGCACAAGCACCGGTCACACACACACAGAGGGACCACAGGACCTTTCTGTGCAGCTTTTGCCCTTTGTGGCGTAGCAGAGATTTACAGGAGAGGAGAGAAAAGCTAAAATCCTTTATTTTAAAAAATAAGAACAATAAAAAGGGTGACCCAGTCACCAGTCAGTTGCTCACACACAACTTCTCCAGCAGAATGTGCAGGAATGTGCCCCGTGCCCGGCGGGCAGAGCTGACCCACGGCCCCCTCAGTGCTTCAGCCTCCCCCAGGAGTTCTTTTTGGGGCTTTGCAGAGGCCACAACCTGTGGCCACAAGTTGTCCCCAAAGGGGGAACGGTGTGGAGCTGGCACATGGTGCCCCTTGTGCAGGGATGGCAAAGGCAAGGAGGTGGGAAGGGTGGGAAAGGTGGGGAGGGACGAGGAGAGGCTGCAGGAGCCTGGTTTGGCTGGGGGAGGAAAACCTGCAGGGGATCCACCAACCACACATGGATCCTCCTCCAGAAAACAGGAGGCATTTCAAAACCACACTGCTCGGGTCTGAGCAACCTGGGCTAGTGGGAGGAGTCCCTGCCCGAGGCAGGGGGTGGAGAGAGATGAGCTTTAAGATCCTCCAACCCCAACCACTCAGGGAGTCTGGGATGGTGTGGTCTGTGGGGCTGATGCTCGTGAAAGCCACGTGGTAGAAACCAACCCTGCATGGGGAACAGGAGACAAAGGTCTTTGTGCAGCCACTGCAGCTCAGCCCATGCTGGGGGTGGGGGTGAGCAGGGTGAGGGGCTGCACCCACCACCCACCAGGGCATTTAATTAATTCAGAGGTGGGATAATGACTCTGGGGCAGCCCCCTCGCTGTCTGTGCTCCAGCCAGGAGCAGGAGCAGCCTCAGCCAGGAGGAAGGCCCAGCTCTGGGGGGCTCAGTGGAGGGGAGGGGGCTGAGGTGCCAGCCTGGGGCTCACAGGGTGAGGGGACCAGCCTGGTGGCAGCAGTCAGTGGCTTTCACAGCTTGGCAGCCTCCTGCCAAGCCCACGCACACACTGGGTGGGGGTGACCTCAGAGGTCCCTTCCAGCCCTAATGAAGTGATTCTGTGAGGTGGAGCCACTGCAGGACACAGCCCAGGGCTCAGCTGGGCCAGCCCCTCTGCAGCCACGGGGGCTGCAAACCCATCCAATGAGACTAAAAGGTGGCCCAGAAGAGGAGAGAACCAGCCAGCTGTGTGCCTGTGACACTCCTCCATGTCCCAGCAGGGTGGGAGGTCGGTGCCAGC